TAGCTGAAACTCCTACTGCTTATATATCTTTCGATCGGTCTAATTGAGCTATTTTTAGTCGCTATTTCTAATATTCTTGACTATTCTTCTGGTATACGCTTAACTGCGTTTGCATCACTATAGCAGTGATACAGCAGTGATGCTGCAGTGATACTGCAGTGAGACCGTACTACCGCCATATAAATCCTCGTACCACTGCACTCTGAAATTATTGTACCACTGTTACTGATTTCCGCAGCTGCGCTGGTGGGACTGCCGATTGAAATGTTGCTGCGGTATCGTCGGAGGAATGTAGAAATAGAGGAGAAAATACGTCACTGATTGCGGCGCATCACAGACCACAAAATAGTGTTTGATCGGGTTGGCGAGTTGTGAACAAGGAAATATTTTGTATTGTGAAATTTAAAAGACATAGTAAATCAGCATCGGAAAAATTGATCTGTCGCGGAGGATTACATCTCATAACAAATCCTTTTACGGTTTTGGAAGGGATGTATTTTTCATATCTTGTAATAAATTTAAAAAGAGCTCTTTCAACATGTTGAAGTATTGGTTCAACGTATGAACCTTGCTCTGATGCTGAGAATGAGAATCTTTGTGGGATTGGCGGAGATAATGATCGATGAACTTGGCTTTTCGTCTCTTGTACCTTTTCTATTTCTTGTTCGTTTGTAAATTTTTCTTGTAACTCTTTTGCAGATTCGCGTTCCTCTAAACTACCAATTGATGCATTTCCTTTCTGAACATTGCCCGTACCGTAAGAGACAGTGACAACACTTGAGAAAAATCTCGCTTTTTTAAAAACAGCACGGTTATTTTCGTCAATGACCTTTAACATTCTTTTGTTTTCCTTCTTTTTCTCGAAGACATTAAGCCATATGTTTAACTGTGTGTATTCTTCTTGTAACTTTTCGTCATTTTTCAATAGAGCTTGCATCGATAATCACAACGCCTTTTCTTGCTTACTTATGGCAGTCTTTCTATTTATGGGAGGGTCCAACTGAAGTAAACTTTCGATTGTTGCTTTTAAGGTGTCTTTAATGTTGTCTTTGAGGTTTTCCTTGAGCCACTTTGAAAGTTTTTTCATTATGAACGGCGAAAGGGTAAGATTAAAAAAATATTACTGTACTTGGGTCTTTGCTAGGATTTTTTATTTCTTAAAATAGATTTATTATGGTTTTATAAAATATTGTGTAACAATGGCTGAAATAGCCAATCAGTACTGCAGTATTACTCACAGGCAGGTATATTTTTATTGGCCAGACCATATCATTTGTCGCTCGCGATCGTTTTTAAATTTTTGCGTTACTCTTTTCTCTTGCCTAACACTGCTGCACTGGCAGAAAGATAGTACTATGTCAATTTGAAAGTAGTTCTTCCCCTAGATCATCATTATTATCAGGACCCTTTCCTCTCTTCTTGCAAGGCAGGCATCCAATACCAAGTATGAAAGGTCAGGTCAATATTGTCTTGTGGAAGTATGAAGAGATGTGTTTTGATTGTACTGTAGACTCCTTGTGGATATCCAACCCTAAAAGGGTTGACAACAAGTGCATCCCACAAAATGCATGAAATGATCCTCTGTAACAGGTGGGCTGGCAATAGGTTGTATCAAGTCACCCCACACACAGATAAATGACTTAGATGATCTTACAAAAAATTGGTCTAAGACAGCTTTGACTGAAAGTAAAAGTTATACATAATAATAGTCAGAGAAACATTGATTGGCTTGGAAGATGGTAATTGGAGCCAAGTTAATAAATCCCAGCAGGATGGGATGTATTCTGCTGGGAGCATACTGATAGTTGTGAAATATAGGTCACCTATTGGAAACCAAGTTGTGTTAGATATAGTTCAAAGTGTGTCCTTTTAGCTGTATTTTCAAAATTACCATCTTCACATATTCCAAGTTCCTGTGCTGTAATTATGAAGAGGAAGGAATGGGAAATATTAAAACGAGAATAAGAGATAACATGTAAGATGAAAGTAGTCGCTCCCGCCTTTATCTCCCCAATACATTCATAATTAAAAAACCATATTACTACAGTCAGCCGCCTATAATGCGTTCCGAGGTTATCGATCGAATTAGTCGAATTATCGTCAGTTAATTACAATAGAAATAATAATAATGTCAAAAAATGTTCTGTAACCGGTGGCCGAATTAACGTATAAATTGAATTAAAGAAGTCCTATGTACACACTACTCTATGTCCCCAACGCCCGAGTCACCTGTCTGTAGAGTGACTATGGCAAAGGAATTGAGCAGTTTAGTTCGCATGTCCGCGTATTCTTCTTCTGTAATAAGGCCATTATCCCGTGCCTTGCTTAGTTCTTCGGGTCATTCTGTCAAAGGAAAACTCATTCTTAAAAGTTCTATGTTAGTAGACGTCAACCCTCGTTCGCGACTCCCTACAGTTAACGCAAGCCTCTTCTGGCTCATGTGACCAAATTCCCCATCTTTATTTACCCAATATCATATGACTAATATTAACATTCGTTGAACAATTATTCTCACGTGCTAATATTGACATACAACAGGGAATTCCAAAAGCCAAAGATGAGAAATTACGTCATATTCGGAATAATCAATGTTTACTTTAATAATTGATCGATACCCCTTCGAAAATCTATAACATGACCATGGATAGGGGCAAAATTTCTGGATGCGGAAGTTGCTTTTATGGCTTGTCATTCACTTTCCGGCATTAGTTGTCCATATGCTAGACACAAACAAAACAAGCACGAAATCAAAAAAAGAAATAAATTTAATACGACAGATCGTTGTTATTTTTGCATTCTAAAATTCCGCGCTTATTTATTTGTAATTGTTCATGCTGTACATCACCATCGTCACGTTACATACCCTCCCTATAAAACTCCTATACCTCCTTAAATCTTTTCTCCCTTGTAAAGGTTAATAACAATAATAATACTAATGTTCAAGCGGAAATCAGCTGCAACTCCCGCGCGCTCAAAGAGCCCACCATTACTAGAAAAGCGACAGTATGTTGCGTCGCCGAGGCTTTACGAAATATTGGATTATTTTGCAGAAAAATTGAATGGTCGGTATGGAAAATATAAAAAAGAGTGGTCGACTTAAAGATACTGATAAATTTTGCAGTTCCATTACAATTTAGCAGCTTTATGAAGAAAAGATACAGTAAAGATCAAATTTCGGAGCCTCAGGATTTTGAGTAAGTAGAATGGTGAAATGACATGCTTTCAAATGTACGGAACAAGGAATTGGCGAAAGAGCATTTTAGAATAAGAATTGGATACCAATTATCCTTGTTCGTAATACTGCATGTCTCTCTTATGAAACATTCACGTATTTCTATGTATTTATTAGGCATCTTATCCATACCGAGAGTGAGCAAGATGCAGAGGCCGCCTTGAAAACCTTGTCAAGCAAGCTGCCGGGTAAATTGAATTTTGCACTTTACCTATTCACATTAGCCCGCCTGATCCCATTCACAAACACGTGTTGTCATCCACGTTTTTACCCGTTTATTTTAAAAACTTAGCCAAGCAATTTCCCAATATCAAAGGAAATCGCAGATCACAAGCCATGGGAACAGTAGTAATACGAGATGTTCCCGACGAGTATGTACGTAGCTCAGAAACATCGGAAATCATTCCATCCGTTGAGACTATCGAGAGATCAGCAGCTGTTAAGATTTATTTTGAAAATTACTTTTACGGAGTCCTCAAGAAACCGTCGGGGCGAATGACGAGAAGGTTGTTGCTTGAGAATGAATTGGAGAAGATGACCGTATCTGAACAGGACAAGCAGTGGATACGACAAGAATTACTTGATCTTGAATCTGACTATATGCGATTGCTTCGGAAAAGAGTTGCTATTAGTTCATTCAATATAGTCAAGACTATTGGTCATGGAGCATTTGGAGTGGTGAAACTGGTGCGGGAAAAAGGCAGTGGCAAATTGTACGCGATGAAGATGATGAGAAAGGCCGATATGTTGAAGAAAGGTCAGGAGGGACACGTGCGTGCAGAGAGAGATATACTCACTGCTGCTGCTGAAGCTGCTCAGTGGATTGTCAAGTTGATTTATTCATTTCAGGATGCTGATAATTTATACTTGGTTATGGAGTATATGGCTGGTGGTGATTTGCTAAACTTGCTGATTGAAAGAGATACATTCGAAGAAGGTTTTGCCAAATTTTATGTTGCCGAGATGGTTTTGGCAATTGAAGAGGCACATCGTCTTGGATATATCCATCGTGATGTTAAGGTGAGTATTGTCGATATAGTACAGGGTACAAATTGGTTGCAATATCTATCCAAAAACGTTTATTATCAATAATCAAGATGCAAGCCATAGCCTACCTACAATCCGTTAATCATATAATGTATGCTAACATCCAATCATTCCATTATTCTTAACTAAAATAATATGACATAGCCTGATAATTTCTTGTTTGATTCGGATGGTCATATTAAACTATCTGACTTCGGTCTTGCAACAGGCTTTCATTGGTCACACGATTCAGCATATTATGAACAACAGCGTAAAGATCTCTTGCATAAGACCGGTATCGACATCGAAACTGACACTCTTACACGTATGATGGGTAAAAAGCATCGGTCAGCGAGATGGTCCGAAGACTGGTCAGATGAATTCGATGATGATAAAGTACCCAATACAAGAATATTAACATGGAGAGATAATCATAGGAGGAACCTAGCATTCTCTGTTGTAGGGACTAATAACTATATGGCTCCTGAAGTATTAAGAAATACTGGATATGATAGTAGATGTGACTGGTAAGTGATGAGTGAATCCGTCACCTGTGCTTGTGCTTTTGAACTGATATCTTGAAATGTTTTTTATATATTATAGGTGGAGTCTAGGAGTAAGTCATTATTACTTTATGAAACGTTTTATTTTAATTATAGTCAATTGTCGTAACATTATTGAAATTTCTTTATAGGTGATAATTTTTGAAATGTTGTATGGGTTCCCTCCATTCTGCTCTAAATCCAGACTCGCAACACGTCAAAAAATTGTCAATTGGCAACAAACATTACGTTTCCCATCTCGTCCGCACCTCTCCCACGAGGCACAAGATCTAATTAAACGTCTGATCTGTGAGAAAGAAGATCGTCTAGGCTCAAGCCCTTATGCTGCGTCCACAAGACCAAACAGTCTTTATACAGCCAACAGGAGACCAGCCGTGCTGGGCGCGAACGATGCATCTGAAATAAAGGCCCATCCTTGGTTCAAGGGCATAGATTGGGCCAATATACATACTGTTATACCGCCGTTCAGGCCCAAATTGAAGAACGAGATTGATACAAGATATTTCGAAGAAATTGTTGATGATAATCCTTTGGCCCCGCCCGAGGGTGAAGTTGAGAGGAAACCTAAGGATCCCTTGCTAAGAGACAAACAACATGGAGACATTGTATTGAATACGAGAATGCAGAAGGCGTTTGCTGGATATACTTTCCGCGGTTTGCCGTTAGAGAAACTAAGAGGCGGAATGGTTGAGCGCATCAAACAGCGAGCTGCTGGGAAGGAACAAAGGTTAAGGTCGAGGGCTATGAGTTTATAAATATTGAAAAGACAGTTGACTTTTATTATTAGGACTTGTCGTTTTGGGATTGAGAATAGTAAATAGCATGTTTGTATATTGACAGTATACATTTAGTCTTGTCCACTGGTCATTCCTGTAAATTATGTCATAATATCAATCGATTTCCTAGTTACCTGTACGATATATTAATGCTACAACCACATTATAAATACAACACAACTTCATGTCTACAAGTTCGAGAAAACTTTTCTTCTCGTTTTAGTCCAGCGCACCTTAATATTGAAGTCTGTCCAAAGCGGTAATATTTACCGTGTGTAAATTTTACTAGCATAGACCGAATGATAAATCATACGTGCCAAATCTCGGCATCTGTGAGTGCAAGAGTTGTAAAGTCTTATCATAATATTAATATCTAAAGAATAAATAATAATAATAGTTTATAAAGTGTAATAGTCGATTGAACAATTATTCCTGTCTTCATGTCACTCTTAACATGATAATGATTTTATTTAATGAGCCAAGGAATAAATTAGTAAATGTGTCAATTAATACTCTATTGTCGTACTCTCAACACTCGAAACTGCGTTATTTTTTGCAGGCCGGCCTTTCAAGTTCCTTTCATTTGTAGCTAATTGTACTAGAACAACTAGGATGATTCGAGAGTGTATCAATTATAACGGATCAATAAGATTCTTTTTTAATCAGCTTCGTTTATGAACGATTCAATCATATAATTAATAATTTCGTTAAAATTTAGAGTGGTAATAGTAATAGATGTTCTTATTGAAGATAGAGATTGACAGTCAAGTCAGCGTTCGATTGCGATATGACTTTATTTTTCAGTGTGAATTTTAACATGAAGTGTACTAAATAACACAGGAATGTTATACATATACCGTAGCAGCGAACGAAATGTCAAATACACGTGTCACTTTAGTCTTTTTTTTTTTTAATACGCTGTATTAGTATCTATCGCGCGAGGAACTTTTACTCACAAACCCGTAGATCATTATAATATCATGTGTTCAAAGCACGATAATTGTGATCGCTATTTACAAGATTGACATATAGAGTTCAGGTAGACGATTTTAGGACAAGGATACTAGTTTACTCTCAGTATCCACTTTCTCGGAAATGGATTCACTATGAACAAAGTGAATTGTTAGGGAACGGGGCAAGAACGAATACCCAAAGTATATTATCATATCACCTACAATACCTGCAATAATGAAACACACTTGCGTAGCAAGCTGGGCTTATTAATATAAAGTTAACTACGAGCCTATCTTTTACGGAAACGTATCGGTATCAAGAAAGTATTTACTAAAGGCTTGAATTGATGTCTTGTTCCTGATTGGCGACCGACTTGGTTTATACAAATATTCGTAATTAACTTTGAATTAATTTAGCAGTATCCAAGAGGAACACCAATTATAAAACAATCTCGTACATATAACACTAATATACCATAACTCATCAATTAAAATATAAAAGAGCATGTGGAAAAAAGACTTGGTGCTGGAGAGCGATAATTAGTTGAAGAGATGTAAGCCCATCGTGTTTAATTAAATCGGCTATACCAATACTAATACGATAGTTAAGGAGTAGGGGGTGACTTGTGAGTGCCACTAATCAGTTTTAGAAGTTAGAGTTGGCACACCCATAGGAATGTGATCACAATAACAACAATCTCTTTTCACAATACTCATCATCATCGTACGAGTCGCGTATTACAAGAATACTTATTTTGGCAATAGTGATTTCATAAATCTTGTTAACGATCCCAAGAATTCCCACTCAGAGTGACGCTAATTCATTTGTACGCGAGATAAGCGACCACTGATGACGATGTGTGTGACAGATGGACGTAATGACTATGAGGAACAGAGTGGCCGGGATGTCTATGATGAATTGATGCTTGTTCATTTAAGTAAACGTATAAATTGTTATTTTCACATTATGTTTGATTGTCTAAAATCAAGATGAAATTGGGTATTTAATACGGTTCAAGCGGTTACGACGGTTATTAGCAAGTAAAAGCATCATGCAACATAAGAGGTAAGTTAAGTGCGTCATGTTGACTGGCTAAGGCAAAAGGTCCTATTGTCATTCTAACAATCAATAAACTCCTAGACAATGTATTACCATAACTGCTTCCGCCAAAAAGATTCACTTAACAACAAGAGTTAGGCGTATAATATAAAAGACTATTTTATAATTTGTATTACCCAGAGTATTACAGGCATATGTTACACTTATTTGCCCAAGTATTTAATTAGGAAAAAATTGCCAAGACATAATGGGGACTAGAAAATGCAACAAATTAACGTACATTTTCTGTTTAAAATTTGAAGTCATAGCCGTTTGTCATCAAAATTACAGCAAGAATCGTATAAAACATAACGGTCCCACTAGCGATTGTAGGTGCTGAAGACGTATTTCCGACCTTAATATCTGCACATTGATACCAAGATTCGTTCCCGGCGCTGGAGACATAGTAAGCCTGCAGAACGCCTTGATCGCCCTCATGAGCACCAGCCAAAGTCAAGTTCACTTGCGTAGTGATTTCTTTAGGATAAGTATCAGCCGCACTAATCGGAACATTTCCTGTGGATGATGGAGAGATGACGAACGATTAGTTCCTATATGGAAGTAGCATATTAAGTAAGTATTGAACATTCAACAGAAGCTTTACCAGAAACTTTGGTGAAAGTGGCGTTACTGTTAGGAGCATATCTGTAAACAAGATTTCCGTCGCCATCAGTAAACTTGGAGGTTGCTTGTCCGGCTATAAAATAGTCACGTGAGACATAAATTATTGAGATGATATTACTATCACGGGCGAAGAATCACGTTATGGACAATATTCAACTTACTTAGAGAGAAAGTTGTGATGGAACCAGTGTTAACGGCGTTGTACTCCCCGCACGGAGAATTACCGAGCATATGTTCGTTAAGAGGTCCTCGAGCAGGTGGGGTAGTCAACTGAAAATGTGCTTCGACGCCTGAGAGAACAAAAAGCGTAATAATAACAAAGACAATCTTGACTGTATACATCGTGTTCAGCTAGTTCTCTGTTATGTGTGAATTTGGAAGAATTTGGTTGCTCTCTTCGAGAATCGCAAGACTCGTTAGAGTATCAACTCATGCCCTTTATATATGAAAGTTGCTAGCGTCACATTACTACAATAACCGATGGTTACAGATTTCTTTAATATTAATCAAAGTTTGAAACTTACATAATATGAAGATTTGTATAACCTTCCCCGGTCTTTATGATCTATCGGATAATTAACACAGGTTAGCTTGATCAGCCTGTAAGGTAGTTAATAGGAGGAAAAGTTTAACCTCTCAATTTTGCACCACGGAACGTTCAAGCCTCAATACGGTTAATATTAATATGGTAAAGGCTTATTCATGACCGTAAAATAAATACGTACATTCATGACCAAATGAGTCTGCCCTTACCAGATGCTGACAATTAGGGTTACTGCGTATACTTAATTTGATGCTTTTGGCCCCTGAATGACATCAAAGGTTGGAAACTGTACATTATATACGCCTTAATTATTGTCGCGCCCACATTCTGGACAATGTATGCTAGGTGTAAAAAAGGTAGAAAAGCATTTTAACGTCAAGACTGGAACCATCTTTGAAGATAGAAAGTTTTACTAAAGCAATCATCTCTGTCTCTTAGATCGTAAACAATTTTATCAAGAAGAAAGGAAAATCATAACTAATAAACGAGCATTAGCCCCAACACATGATGAATCAAGAAAGAAACGAAAACTTGAAGAAATATAAGCAAAGGATCTAAACAATTATTTTCTTTTTATTAGAAGTATTATAAGCTACCATTTGATAAGTAGCAAGAGCACTATCAAAGTTAAGGAGAGTCATCCTTTGCTATTTCCAGAATTATATATTAATATTCTAATTTACTTATTCTTTTGAATAATAAAGGCTTGGAATTTCTCTTTAGCTTTTTCTTTGGCTTTACTTACCAATTTTTTGAGTTTACATAATCTATTTTCTTTTTGTTTTTTAGGCAAAGCTGGTAATTCTTTGGCTGCTAAATAATATCTTCTGCTTATTTCTTTAACGAACTATTCCAATCACCCATAAGCTTGCCCATTGCAGCATTGTGCTTTAACACAGTTTCAGACATTTGGCGTTTTCTTCACCTCGTAGCTGCATCCGGTGCTTTTTCGCTCCATTTCCACTTCATTCTCTAACTCTTCTATCCTTGTTTCTAGGTAAGTAAAAGCAAAAGATTCTTAATTTTATGCTTCATTAGCAAAACTTTTTCAGAGTGAATTCGTTGCTAAAACAGCTCTTCCAATTTCAATTCCATTCTTTTCGGGATAGTAATAGCTTACTCAACCCTTGTCAGGTCAAGTAAATCTTTCTAAGGTTCTTAAAGCAGTACCAGTATATTCTAAACTTTCGGTAAGACTGTGAACTACATTTCAAATTCTTAGTTTAAAGTTATCTTCTTTATCTGCTAATTGTTTCTTCAACTTTCCGTTTTCTTCTTTATTCTCTGTTCGAGTTCTGTTATTATTACCATACTTTTCTTTTTATTTTATTTATTCTTTTTAATATGCTTATATCCTTTTTATTAGAATATATTAAGTACAGTATATAATTATTTTAAGCTTTAAAAATTAAAAGCGGGAAAAGCTAGCGAAATTCTAGATGGAGAACTTAATGGCAGCGAGAAAATTAATAAGCATTGAAATGATGGAGAGAATTTTAGTCTAAATATTTTATTCATTGCTAGTATAAATTGGTTGTGGACAAATAATATCTTTAAATTCGTCTCTAACAAGTGGACGAATATTATGATAAAGATACCCTTGTCTTTTGTAGTCCAAAGGAGGAGGAATTAGTACTAGGATGGAAAAAGATTTAATTTCTTTGTGGAAGAGTTATCTTCGCGTAGGTGTGTTTGCCGGCCGGTAGGCTTAACTCGTACTATCGCCCTTACTACGATAGTTGTACAATTAAGACTGAATTAAGCCTCAAGTGTCCTATTTTACTTATACGCGCTTCTCACTCCCTACCGAGTTTCAAACACTCGTGAATACAAATAAGGGTACCTCTAATAAAATAATAACAACAATTATTCTATTAAAGATCTAGGGGAATAAAATTAAACAGGGCTATCTTCGATTTGTGTTTCGACTAGTCGTATCCGTCACTCGTCTTCACTAAACTAATTAAACAATATTCGTCTCGATAATTAATCATGAACTCTCGTTCCGTTATTTACGTAATTGATCCGCGGACAGCTTATTAGCTTGATCAAATCAATGCTATTCCGTTACAACTTAAGTGAGCCGTTTATTGGAGTGTCCGGTCTAATATTCAATTATTTCGACGATAGAATATTTATTTATAATAAAGGATTTCGGGAGAATATTACCAAGATTAGTAATATTTTATTTATTCATAACAATTTCAACTTTCGATGTTTTCACAACACATAACATTACAACATGAAGATTTGACGATGGAGGAAGAGCTACTTATATATCTTTTTCGTCGCAAGAAAAACGACACGCTTCTATATAAATTATTATACTATGAAGAACAATTAATTTTAGCGTTTATGCTGTCACATATTTTGCGACACGTTGCTGCGCTTGTCACAAAATTAGCGACACGCTACCAAATTAATATCTGTATATTACTGAACTAAAATTAGTGCCGATCATGGGCTTGTTTAGCTGCAGAGGAAGATTTTATCATGTGACAGCAATTTCAGAAACACTTGCTTTCAACAAATTAAATTCAGTAAAGCGCCATTTGAGCTTTGACAATTCCAGGATTAGCTGCTTCAAAGAGAAAATGTAAACCACTCAATTTCTTAAGAAAGTTCCCAACACAGAATTAAAATCCAAGTACTGAAAACCTTTTCCATTGTCATAACACTGAGTTTTATTTAATCCTGCTGTACTTGATTTTTCACGACCTCAACAATATAATCTATGCAGTCTACAGTCGTTTTGCGGTATAGTTTTTAATCTATCCAAAACTACCGTCACACTTGAATTTAGTATGTCCAGGTACCATGAAATTAAGCTCAACGCTTTCGTAATAACCGCAAATTATTAAATATAAGTAAAATTAAATGGTAGCATTGTTTTCATTCTGACTACCCGCATTATCACAAGTAGTTTTTTGCCTCTATTTAATCTCTTAATTCCATCGAATACCATACTCAGTGTACCATTAGGACCTTTGCCGATAATTTCGTCTTCATTGAGAACATAATTAATTTGTCGCGTACTGCTTCATCTTGAGACAATAAATTTTACTCACCTGTTGATCGGAATGTGGAACGTGAACATTTTGCGCTCAATCATAACTGTATGAGTAGTAACGTCAACGCTGCAATAATCAGCTTTATTTCTTGTTATAAAATACTCGTCTATTAATTTCCTCTGTTGTTCTGCTAATTTCGTATTTTTGTTGCCTTAACTAAATGTTCTTTGTATTTTTCAGTAAATCTCTTGCTTCTTCTTAAGCCGTTCCGAAAATGTTGACACGTGTCACATAAATCCGCTCTTGGACTCATTATTTGAATATAAGGCGTTGATTGGTGTCATAATTTGCGAAACGCATCATATTTTAACAATTTCAACGTGCTATCGTTTGAGACCTGCAATAAAATCACGATAAACCGATTTGTAACTCGTTTCGGCTGGCAAGAGTGTAAAGCGATTGAGTAATTCGGTTGACATTTCTACCAGGACTTGGTAAACCATGAATTTCAGCATAATTTTCGAGAAAATTCTTCACGGCTGTAGCAACGGTTATATCAATGGTTATTTTGGTTTTCCATCGTGGCATTCTTTTTACATTACCATGAACGTGCGGTATTATACCATTTGTCGCTAAGTGATTTCTGACAGAGTGCGACCGATTCCTAACATATTGAGATACGTTTTCTGACAAAGAGGTATATTGCGATCTCAAGATGTTGGCTGACAGTTATCTCCCCAGCATTCATCACTTTCAGCTGGGCCATTAAAAATAAGTCTTGCTCAGCTCTAGAGAGCTTGAAACGCTTCACGTAACTCGACAGACACTATTATTATGCAAGAAATAGATTAAAACAAAGACAACGACAACGAAAAAAGCAGATATAATTCGTAGGACATTTCTACGAGTATAATAACCAACCATCATTACACAATACTAAAGAATATGTTGAAGTACACAAGCAACAATTAAACTTATACAGGTGCTTTGTTTGCCATCAAAGATATTTAGACACAAACTATTATCTTATAGATTCTGTGCTTACTATTACCGCCTGAAGTTTATTTCAAGTAAGCTATTGTCAGCAGCATCTGTGTAAAGCGAACTGAGAAATGAAAAATGATAATTGTAATGCAAAGATGATACGATCAGAAATAAAGTAGTAAGGTTTAGACTACAAATTTAAATGCATGTTTGTGTTTCCTTTAAAATCTTATTTGATCTCTTTCTACTGATACTCTCCTATGAGCTGAACCTCAACTTTCCTTCTCCTGGCAATATACATTTATCCAGTAATTATCACAACTATACTTTGGTTTTTCATTACGAAGACCAGGACATCGAATGTCAATGATGGCCCATTCCTTGCAGGTATTCTTGATAGATTCATAAATACCGCTTGGTTCGAGGCGACTCTTGTGGCCAGACGCAACTGCACCATCTCGTAGTAACTCAATTACCCAGCTCCGGCGGTCATCCACAAAGAAATCCAAATTGTCCTATTTCTTATTAATTCTTAATTTAATAAAATCGCCCATGAATAATCACGGTTTCCCCAATATGTTCCGAATGAATACATTAAGGGGTAAGATTTGAGTAGCGGCCGATAAAATTCCGTTTGCCAAGCGCGCTCCAGAAGCCGTCCGCCCTTACCAACAGAATACGATTTCCGTATGGTCTCAGCATTCATATTGATGGAGAAACTTTCAGTGCATATTGATTCGGCACCGTGGATATCTCAGGCGTTTGCTCGATAGGTTCGATAGGCTCATCTATCCTTTTACGCT